CCTGTTAGGCGACAGCAAAAAAAAAAGCCCAGTGGACAAGCAGTGGAGAGGAACTGAAGGGGCCATGACTTAGGAGTTAATCATACTTTCCTTTAATAAACAGCTCTGAGGTCCCCCCATGCCCTGCCTACTCAGTGCCTTTTTTTTTTTTTTTTGCGGTACGCGGGCCTCTCACCGTTGTGGCCTCTCCCGCTGCGGAGCACAGGCTCCAGACGCACAGGCCCTGCGGCCATGGCTCACAGGCCCAGCTGCTCCGCGGCATGTGGGATCTCCCCGGACTGGGGCACGAACCCGTGTCCCCCGCATCGGCAGGTGGACTCTCAACCACTGCGCCACCAGGGAAGCCCTGCCTTTGTGTTTTGTTTATGTCTTCCCATAAAGCCAAATGAGCAGCTTGGAAATCTGCTTGGGTCTAAAAGATTTCTACCTAGAGTAGCAAGGGTAGTTACTCATGATTTCCATCTGCTGTTTCTGCCTGCCTGGCATTCATTCCCTTTGTTTCTGGAATCAGTAAAGTGGATTTGTCTTCGGGGAATCAAACTTCCCTCTCAGACCAGGAGGTCTGTGGCAGAGCCGTACCCAGCCGACCCTGAGCTGCAGGGGTGGGCACGTGACCCAGCCTCAGTCCGTAGGCATATCCCATCCCATGGCCACAGTGACCGGTCTATCTATGGACAAGGGACCCAAGGTGGTGCAGTGAGTTTCTGCCCTGAAGCTCTGGCTGGAACTACTGCAGAAAAGGCACTCTTGCCACTGGAGTTCCTAAGTCAAGAGGATGGAAGTCTTTCCACCACATGGAAAAAGAAAGCCTCAGAGTGCAGTCACACAGAGGAGAGCAGAGCTGAGCAATGAGGGAGGAGACAATTCTCGGCATGGTCTGGGGGCCCTGGGTCTGCCATGCATGCCCTACCCCAGGCTCTTCAGACGCAAAGGCCAACAATTTCCCCCCTTCTGCTTCAAAGTACTATGAATTGGGGTTTTGCCACTTGCAATTGAAAGAATCCTTACTAATGCACACTGTCTCCTTCTTTTTATATCAAAAGATTTTCAGTAACTACCCAACCAGGGAAATCAGTGCTCTGCCTAAATTGACACAAATGATTTCAGATACAGTGCATCTCGTCACCAGCTTTCCTAGGGTGGGTCTGTAATCTCTCCTCATTGCCACTGAGTTTTAAAGTTGCATCTGTCATGCATGCAAAGGCACGTTACATGCAACAAATATCATCTTTCACTAGGTTGTGTACCTTACTTCAAACTTTAAAACTGGAACAGGTTTTTAAGGAATGGAAATTTCCACCCACTTTCTGATTTCTGTTTAATAACTGTGTGTCATAAAACACACTGAGACTCTAGATCTTTATTATTCTACTATTACTGACGTCAAGGTGAGTTCAAAGAATGTGATGTGCCCTACAAGGGGAAAGGCAGCAGAGCACAAATACACAAGTGATGGTATCCTTTCATCCCACCGCGGGATCCAGCAGCATTTTGCACAGAATAGGCCCTCAGCAAACACTGACATGGCTGGAGCGTTCAAGCTCCCGATATTCCAAAGCCGAAGCTCTAGGAAACACATCTGATATTTTCCCGTATGAAAAATCCACGCCAAGTTTCAAGCAGATGGCAATGCGTAAATGCTTGGGCCTCGGTCACTACAAGGGAGCAAGTGCCCTTTAATGGAAAGCTTTTTCTTTCTTTCTTTTTTTCTTTTCTCCCTTATCAGGGAGTGGACCTATAAAAAGTATCCTTCCTAAGGATGTCTGCTACTCACTCTGAGGGCAATGACTGTTTGATTTCTTTGTGACACTGGAGACCACAGGGCTTCTGTCATTTGATAGACGTCACATAAAAGAAGCAGATCAAAGGCTACGGTCCTCGCCTTCTGATTTCTTAACACTGGAAGTCTGGGGTTCATCAGGACCCTAAAGAACAGGGGCAATAACCCCTCTCTAAAGGTGAACAATGCCAACGGAACTAGCAAGGGGGACTCCCACAGAAAGCTGCCAGAGGCAAAGGCCCCATGTGAGTTGAAGAAAAACGACTGTAAACTCTCCACAGGGTGCATTTTTCATAAATGAAAAACTTACTAGTTTTAAGTAGGAGCTTCACGGTGCTTTAAAGAAGAGAAAGGCTGAGTGATTTACAATCCTCACCAGCAGAGCAGCCCTCCAAGGCCAAGCGACCCAGACCCTGATGCCCGCCGTCACCAGGCGCCTCTCCCTGCCAGACTGCCCTCACCAACTCGCACTCCGATCCAACTCTTTAATACAGAGACCAAAAAACTAATAATACGATCAAATTCAAAGACAAAGGGAAAGCATGTTTCGAGTCAATGAAAAGCAACCTATCAGCCGAAAGGCTTTGGGAGCCTCCTTCCCAGCAAGAAGGGAGAAACAATTAGTTCTGAAACTTAGTTCGTTTCTAAGACGATGACCTTAAATACCCCCTAATTAGAGTTACTGGTAAGTGGGTCTACTTTGAAATTAATTTTGAAAAGGAATCCTACAGTTCTGCTTTCTGCGAACAAGCCGTGCTCTAAAATTAGCAGCTAATAAAGTCCTTCCAGTGACTGGTGAGTTGGCGGGGAGGGAGAAGCGTGAACATTAGAGGAGACAGGACACGGTCACAGGCGCGAGTGCAGGGACGCAGCTTACCCTGCACAGGTAGGCCCTGGCGTACACCGACACCAGAGGGTCCCCGATCCCTCGGACCATGCAAGTCAGCCGGGGCAGACACTCTGAAATCCCCCTGTTAGAGACAAAAAGACAGCGGCATTACACCCCCTGGGAGAACTCTGTTCTTTCTTTTTTTTTTTAATAAAAAAAGCTAGACTTCCTAAATGCAGGGGGGGAAATCAAGCTTCAGAACGAAACCAAGGTCAAAGTTTGAGTCTTCTAAGGCCATGTAACAAGTCTTTCTCTCTTGCCACGATTCATTCTTTGAATGGTTTCTTTTATCTTTACCATTTGCTCAGTGCTGGAGTCTAACCTTCACCCTTTTCCTGCTTGAGGTCACATTTATTTTACTAATTTAACAATTTTTGTCCCCCAATTATTTTCCATTGACAGGTCACTCCTTGACCTTCTTGATATTTTCGTCGTATCTATATTCCTTTGGTACTGATTTGCCGCCCTGTGCCCCGCCCCTTCCTAGCACCTGACACCTAGCACCTCAGGCTAACAACAGCATCCCCCTCAGTGTGAACTGTGACTTATTTATTCCTCCTGCCACGTGGGACTTCCATCTGCCTTGGGCATTATTCTCCCCCAACTGGTGAGGCAAAGTAACTCTTTCTTCAGCACCATGTTATCCCCACAAACTTACCCAGGCATTCCCAGATCCCAATCAAACACATTTGGTACACATTCTAAATCCAACCCAACTATTCCTCAGAGCACCGTGAGTCAGCCCATGGCTTTGAGGAGCTGATTATCTAGACGGGATCCAACATCACTCAGTATTTCAGCAGCTCTGCAGAAAGCAGATCTGGTTTCTCCCGGCTCTGCAAAACTACTCTCAGGACAATGTCCGAGGTGACCCAGAGTAGCAAAGGGCTTAGGGGCAAAGGCTTTTCCTTCTGACATCATCTTGGACAGCAGCCGCAAAGACAGTGAGTGAGGGCCCACGGGTGTCACTCCCAGTGTGGTGTGTCCAGCTCACCAGACCCTCAAAGACCCCTTCTTAGGGCCTTTTTCACAGAGGAGACTGGGGGTCAGAGATGCTAAGTAACTTTCTCAAGACCACACAGCTAGTAAAAGCAGAGCCAGGATTCAAATACAGTTGAGCTGAACTTCCATGAGTAGTCATCCGACCGCTCCCAGCTTGGGTTTTCTTCCCTGTAAAATGGAGATAAAGAAGCTATCTCTCTACTTGAAGTTCTCACTTGGATTAAACGAGAAAATGGATGGAAGGCGCTTAACACCACATCTTCTACAAGCACTCAAAGAACCACAGCTGCTATTACATCGTCATTAGCATGTGTGTGTACGTGTGTGCACAGGCATATGTGAGAGAAAAATGTTTTGGAAATGTATGGTCCCAGACTTTAAGAAGAGCCTTACGTTTTGGAGAGGAACTTGTTACACTTCAGGATGGATGCTTCTACATAGCTACAAAAACATTCTGTTAAGGAAGACATTTTCCAGATGGTCTGTTCCCTATGGGGAAAAGCCTAAACTATTCATGCAGAGAACTAGGTGTGCCTTCAGGAGAGGGGGCCACAGTGACTCTCAACAATCCAGAGAATTAAATTAGTGAGTGGCTTGTGGTTTCTATATTTGGTTTTCAAGGTTTTATATTTATTTATAATAAAATCTGGAAAACATTGTATGCTGATTTATGGTTGCATGCTGAAATTTAAACTGGGTTTTGAGCATTTCCAATCGAGGCTTTATGGGGAAAAGGATGAAACTTAGAGAACTAAGATTCCATTTGTGTATAAGTTGAATTCTCTGTCCTTCAACACTGGTGTTTGTGCAGAGAAGCTTGACCCTGTTCCTTTCAAGTTCTTGAAACCAGAGAAAACACAAAAAGATGAAGCATTTTAATTGAGAAAATTAATGTGGGAATGTTCCTCAGGGAAACAAAAGCCTGGTACATGGCACTATAGTCAAAGTTAAAAAACAGAAAACTGGGGAGAGCCAGAGTCCAAGGTCCTCATGGACAATGTGGCTGGCCCTGTACTTCCAGGCTAGCAACCGTAACAGAACTGCATTTTCAACAGGAATTTCAGGGCAGCCCATTACATGGCTTCTATTAGCAGTGCAACTCTTGCAGCCTATCTTTAAAACCATCAGACAGAAAAAAAGGATACAATCTCGGAATGAGTTCCCTGATGGATGCAATCTTGAAAAACCAATTTAAGCATGTTTCTTTGGCTGTGTCATTTACATTCTCTGGAGAGAAGTGATCTGTAAAACAAAAATAATATCTATCAGCCCCCTAATTCTTGGGATCTGTTAGAGCTGCTATGAGTCCTAGGACAAAAAAAAGTTACAATGGAGCAGAAGAAGGAGTGGGGCACCCAGTCCTTCTATGTTTTTCCTTCCAAATATCATTATTATTAGGAAACAACTGGTGACAATGATAGCTGACACACAAAGGCTTTCTAAGTGCCAGGCGCCGTTCAGAGTGTATAGACATCAGCTCACCTAATCCCCACAAGAACCCTCCAAGTTATATACTTTTATTGTCCTCTTTCACAGACACAGAGGGCAAGGCACAGAGAAGTTTAGGGACCTGCCCAGGGCACACAGGAAACCGATGTAAGAGTTCCTTTTGGACCTGCCATCTGCGGTGGCACCGCCGCCAATACGCAGATTTTCGTGAAGACCCTGAAAGGGAAGACCGTCACTCTCGAGGTCGAACCCTCGGATATGACAGAAAAGGTAAAGGTCAAGATCCAGGATAAGGAAGGAATTCCTCCTGACCAGCAAAGACTGATCTTTGCTGGCAAGCAACTGGAAGATGGACGTACTCTGTCTGACCGCAACACTCAAAAGGAGTCCACCCTTCATCTTGCGTTGAGACTTCGTGGTGGTGCTAAGAAAAGGAGGAAGTCTTACACCACTCCCAGGCAGAACAAGCATAAGAGAAAGAAGGCTAAGCTGGCCGCCCTGAAACACCATAAGGTGGAGGAGGACGGCAAAATCAGTCGCCTTCGGCGGGAGCGCCCTTCAGGTAAGCGTGGTGCTGGAGCTTTCATGGTCAGCCGCTTTGACAGACATTATCGTGGCAAATGTTGTCTGACCTATTGTTTCAACAAACCAGAAGACAAGTAATTGTGTATTGGTTAATAAAAGACATGAACTAATGAAAAAAAAAAAACAAAAAACACACGTAAGAGTTAGAATTCAACTCAGGCAGTCTTGGCTCCGCAGCCTATATTCTTAGCCACTGCCTCTAATTTCATCCAGAGGTTCTTGGTGTACCCACCAGTAATTATGGTGATTACTATTGAGAATTCCAGATGCTTGAGGAACCTGCAACTGTAATATTAAATGTGATCGATCAGTGTCTGTGCTCTAAATATCACATGGACCAGACTTGAAAGGTAAATCAAAGACTCTGAGGTGAGAAACCAGCCAGAGTTAGGCTGCCAGCTCAATATGGCACTAAGACTTGAGTCACTTTGTGGCAAAACTGCCACTTTCCCCTCTTATCTACTCTCTTCCTCTTTAATAGAACTCTCTCATTTTCTGCTGGGCGTACGGCCATCCTTGCAGCTCAGTGTGGCCATGTGACCAAGTTCTGGTCCCAGGATATAAACAAAAGTGCAAGGTCTGGGAACTAGCTGTAAGGGAAAGGGCTTGATCTTCATTCCTTCTTCCTTCCTGCCGGCTAGAATGCAGATACGATGGCTGTGACCTCCATAACCATCTTGAACCACAAGAGCAAGACCGAAGTCAGGATTGTTGGCACCACGGGCTGGCTGCCCAACTAGCCCTGATCGTCCTTACTGTGATTTTGAGTTTTCTGGCACTGACAACCAAGCCCAATCATGACATACATCTTAATAAGGAATGGAAAAGAGTACGGAAAAATGAAAACAGAAACAAACGACAAAAAACTCATCAACACCAAGAAGGCCACTGTTGAACTCTTACTTGAAAATGATTTCTTCTAAATGATTTCCACACAAATTGGAGCCCGATCCCACCACTGGGTGTGCTTTACACTTTCAGGATTCAATCAAAACAGGAGAAATTAATCACTACAGAACATAACAGATGAACATTAGCTTGTTGGTTGGTCTCATCTTGTTGTTCAGTGGGTCATGTTTCATCCCTGATTCTACTTTCTGCTACTTGGTGGCACACTATTAAGGTGATCAAAATATCTATGGAATCAGCAAAAAGATAAAACTCTAGGTACTTCAGGAGCTGAGAACAGTCACTAATCACAACGGCAGATATTTTGGAATTGCAATCTCAAGGATTTGTCTATTTTTGGACGTTCTGGCATGCTTCATTCATTCGAGAATTTTTCACTTGCCATTTTCAAAGGGAAGGGAAATTACCATTTTCCCTTTCCTGGCCTGAACCGGTGCACTTCAGAGTAACTTTTTTTCAAGTTCCAAGAGATCCAGACAGGAAAAGTTAAGGGTTATTCTTAAACTCGTTTGTCAATCTTGCCTCTTGGAAAAGGGAGAGGTGGGGTTAATTTCCCTTCATATGACCAAATCATGTGATTTAAGACCAAAAAGCAAAAATAAGTCTCTGAGGTCATCTGAGAAAAACTCTTGCTTTTCAGTTGAGGGAACGGAGTGCAGCAGCAAAGGGTGGGATGACAGGGATTCGGGCTGCCAGAGAGAGCTGGACATCACACCAAAGGCAAGTTGCCCTGCGTGTACACATTGACTGAAAGCTATACAATAATCTGCATATGCAATATAAAGGCTTTAGGCTTTCCTTCCAGCTCAAGGGATAATTCAGGAAAAGGATTATGTTATGCAGGACTTTAAAATATTATAGAAAAAAGTAAATAAACAAAACTAGAAGAAAAAAAATGTTACAGAAAACTCAATATTACATTACTTCATTTGCTCAATACAAACGTCTTAGGAACCAACTAAAAGTGGTATTCTAGGCTCCAGGCAGATAACAGCACATAAGAGAGACCCTTCCCTCATGAAGCTTACATTCCAGTGGGGGAAGAAACATAATAAACACAGAAAAGAATAAGCATGCAAACAAGATAACGTTCAATAGCAATCAACACTATGAAAGATATAAAACTACGTATGGAATAGAGAGTGACCTGAGTTAATCTGGCAGGGGGGTGGGGATTAATTAGACAGGGTGCCAGTCAGAGAAGGCTCCTGCAGACGTAGCATTTGAGCTGAGCCCTGAATTATAAAAAGGAGCTAGCCATGCTTAGATGTGGAGGAAATGTATTCCAGGAGGAAGAAACAGCAAGTGCAAAGGCCCTGTGGTAGGTATGACCTCTGGTGTGGTCAAAGAACAGGAAAGGGAGCCAAAGTGGTGAGAGCAAGAAGTGGGAAAGCAGGCATCACAAACCAGGTCATGCAGGGTTGCAGCCTTGGTGAGGAGTCTGAGAGTTTTTCTAAGTATGATGGAAACTCCCTGAAGAGTTCTGAGCAGAGGAATGGCATGACATGATATGACTTATACTTCAGTGCTTGAGCTGCTACATGGAGAATGAATTCAGAATTTGGAAATTAATTAAAAAGAGGCTTTGATGTAACAAAGAGCAAAGATATTTTCCTCTAGTTCTCACTTATTTTTCTTTCATTGTGCTTCTTTTTTCAACCCTAACTTCTGTGGATATTTTAGGAGGAGGGAGGACACCAGCGACTCTAGTTCTCTTTCATTTGCCAAGTCTGTACCCTGGCAGTGAGAGGTCTCTTTACATAACAAGGCTTATAGGGGTGCCACGTCACCTTAATATGTGCCTGAAATGGCAGTTCAGTTAAGGACATTGCTTATCCAGATGCAGCTTACATCAGCCATGGAGAAAAACTGAAGATAGGAATGCCCCCAGTTGATGAGGAGAGCCACAACACAATAAACCCAAGTTATTTCTCCCAACATGGAAATAGAATTGTTTTATCACTTGGAGTACATTGCCTCTTCACTCACATGCTGGATTAAGAAATGTTGGGGAAAAACTGCCACAGCTAGTAGCATGTACTTTCCGTGAGCCCAAAGGACACTGGTATCTTTCTGAGGTCATAAGAGCTATGCCTTAGTTAAAACTCCTGAAGGTAAAGGGCTCAAATACTAAGTTCACAATCTGAACTTGATTCAAATGGAAAGAATGAGTACACATGCCACCGGACTTCTCTCTCCACATAATTTCTTTAGGCAGAATTCTGCATAGTAGGTTTCAAAAGCTTTCTTCATAATTACTGTTAAGAGTCATCCCCAACATTATTGATGTTTTTGAGAAAAGTCTGCCCCTCTCCCTTTCAGGTTCTGGGAAGCAGAAAACACATGCAGATGAAGATTTTAACTGAAAGGAGGGAAAATGAAATTATTTTCAAGAAAGCAAAAGCCTGATTCAAGGTAAAAAAAAAAAAAAAGGTATTTTGGGAGGGAAGAATTTAGCGATAAACGTGCTAATTAGTATATTTAGATAAAAACTAAAAGTGAACATGAAAGTAGCCTTTTATTTTGAATTTTTATAGTTTAGGTAGGGAGAAAGTTATTAGTAATTCTTCCTTAACTAGCCCTAAAATGTTGTTTGTATAGTTAGTGAAAACTAAGAGGAAGGAAAACTATTGCAATAGGTGCAAACACAAATGCCCTTAGGGGCCAGTCAGGTAATATAAATATTTTTAAGCAGTTAGGTATACAACAACAGGAAGAAGTAGAAACTATATGAAGAAGCATTTTAAAGAATACTGTTATAGCCAAAGAAAACACCTGTCTGGGTTTATTTCTGCCTGCAGGCTAAGAATTTACTGCTGCTGGCATAGCATATGGAAGAGAAGTTGGCAAGTGTAAAATAAATGCACCCGAGTTTCCCAACTCCTTAAGTTGACAGAGAAGCCCTTTCTATCAGGCTTGTCCCTGCCTCCAAGTCTTGAGAAGCCTAGAATGTGGGAGGAGCTGTTGGACATATATACACTACCAAACGTAAGGTAGATAGCTAGTGAGAAGCAGCCGCATAGCACAGGGAGATCAGCTCGGTGCTTTGTGACCACCTAGAGGGGTGGGATAGGGAGGGTGGGAGGGAGGGAGACGCAAGAGGGAAGAGATATGGGAACATGTGTATATGTATAACTGATTCACTTTGTTATAAAGCAGAAACTAAAACACCATTGTAAAGCAATTATACTCTAATAAATATGTAAAAAAAAAAAATTGCAGGTATGATGTGGTGGAGGGGAGGGTCTAGAACAGCAGTGTCCAGTGGAAATATCATGTGAGCAGCATTCAAAAAGCTAAAACAAAACAGGTGAAATTTTAACAATATACTTCATTTAATCCAATTTATCTAAAATATCAGTTCAACATGTAATCAACTTAAAAATTAGTGAGATGCTTCATGGTCTTTTATTTGTATAAGTCTCTGAGGGACTTCCCTGGTGGCCCAGTGGTTAAGACTCTGCACTTCCATTGTAGGGGGCATGGGTTTGATCCCTGGTCGGGGAACTACGATCCCGCATGCCACTCAGTGTAGCCAAAAGAAAAAAAGAAGTCTCTGAAATCCAGGGTATTTTATTTTTTTTATATTCACAGCACATCTCAGTTTGGACTGGCCACATCTCTAGTGCTCAAGAGCCCCACGTGACCAGTGGCCACCATATTCGATGGCGCAGGCCCAGCGCTAAGAACCAGGCTCTCGCTAGCTGGTGGCAGGGCTGTGGGCAAGTCCCTGACTCTTCCCCACTGGGTCTGCCCACCTACAATGAGACAAGGTGATTCCTAAGAGCTTTTCTAACCCTAAAGGTCTGTAGAGTTCTGTCTTTCTCTCTGAGAAATGTACATATTAAATAGTTTTTAACAATATAGATAGATGGAAGGAAGGAAGGAAGGTAAGAAAGGAAAAAAAGGAAAGAAAAAAAGGAAAGAAAGAGAGAAAAGGAGAGAAAAAAGAAACACAGTGAAAGAGAGCAAAAGAGAGAAAGAGGAAGGAAGGAAGGAAGGAAGGGGGAAAGAAAGAGACAGAAAGGCAAGACAGATAAACAGACAAAAAGAAAAGAGATCACACTACGGGTACTGTCAGATGCCATCTCTGCATCCTCCAGGGAAGTGCCGCTGCTAGAAGCAGAAGGAGGTGGGATGAAGGTGGAGTGAGCTTGTTCTAACTTGTA